ATGCTGCACCTGATTGCCCCTAACGATTATATACTCGAGCTTTGGACGACGACTCTAGAACATATCTCCCGATATAGGATAGGCCTTATGGCTGGCCTGGCTGGTTCCGGTCAGAGTGAGGCAGTCCTGAAGGCGCATTGGCAGCGCGAGATGTCGAGATTGTTCCCCCACGGACCCAGGTCGGCTGAGCAGGGGAGTCTAGATTTTGTGGCCGTGGAGGGCATTTGTCGCAGTTTACATATCAATTGCTCCAAGAACATGCTTCGCGCGCAATTCTCCAAAGCTGATTCTGATGTCAACGGCAAGTTGAACTTTTCACAGTTCCAGAATTTTGTCGCTCGCTTGAAAGAGCGGAAAGACGTCAAGGAGATCTTCAAGGATAGTGCCAGGGACGCCAAAGCTGGCCTAAGCGTCGATGAATTCTTGACCTTCCTCCGAAACGTACAAAATGAGGACGTTGACTCGGACCGAAGTTATTGGGTCTCGGTTTTTGACAAATGTGTACGCAGGTCTAAATCGCGGGTCCCAAGTATCCCAGAGTTTGAGGAGGAGCAAGTCCCTCGAATGGATTTTGATACATTTTCCTCTTTCCTTGCGTCCCCATGGAACGGTTTATATGCCTCTCGTGCTCCCCAGTCGCGATTCGACCGTCCCTTGAACGAATACTTCATCTCGAGTTCCCACAATACTTATCTTTTAGGCCGCCAGGTTGCCGGGGCGTCCAGCACAGAGGCATACATAAGCGCTTTGCAAAAAGGATGCCGTTGTGTAGAGATCGACTGTTGGGATGGGGCCGATGGCCGACCGATTGTGTCCCATGGACGAACTATGACCACGAGTGTTCTGTTTGCTGACTGTATTACCGTCATTAATCGCTATGCATTCATCACTACTGATTTTCCTCTCATCCTGTCTCTCGAGGTACATTGTAACCCGGAGCAGCAACTGGCAATGGTCAAAATCATGAAGGATACCTTCAAAGATCAGCTTATCCTGGAGCCACTGTTAACAAACAGTTTTGTCCTTCCGTCACCCGAAGAGCTGAAGGGACGCATTCTTGTTAAGGTAAAGACCTGTGACGAGCCCCAAGAGGGCGTACGGCAGGAGTCCATGGGCACATTCGCCGTTCACGGCCGTAAACGCAGCGCAAGTTCTCCATTCATACGTCCGACGGCATCTGAAAGCTCAGCAATAACTAGTTTGCCCCCTTTGTCAAGCCCTCCAACGCTTGGACTGGAAACCGTTGGCTCATTTTTGACCCAAGATAGACGCTCGTTTACAACCACCAGCATCAGCAGTGCTACGGAGGAGAGTGATGGCGCATTGGCGACCATCAGGAAAGAAAAGAAAAGACGTCAGAAGAGCAAAATCACCAAACCTTTGTCGGATCTAGGTGTCTACACTCGAGGGTACAAGTGGCACAGCTTCTCATCCGCTGAAAGTCAACGGTATAACCATGTCTACTCCTTCGCCGAACGATCATTCGAGGGTATATGTCGTGATGCCGAAAACAGGGCTCTCTTTGAGAAGCACAACCAAAAATATTTGACTCGAGTCTATCCCTCCGGCTTCCGCCTGAGATCTTCGAACTTCGACCCCCTCAAATTTTGGCGACGCGGCGTTCAGATGGCGGCCTTGAACTGGCAGACATACGACATTGGCATGCAGATGAACCAGGCCATGTTTGCTGCTGGGAGCGATCGAACCGGTTACGTGCTAAAACCCGAGTCTCTTCGCGCCTTGTGCCCGTCTGACGAAGAGAAAACGAAGACTACAGAGTGGAAGCTTGTTCGATTTTCGGTGGATGTTATATCTGCCCAACAGCTTCCTCGCCCTCGCAGCATTGGACCCGATGATAACATCAATCCTTACGTGGAGATTGAAATGTTTAGCGCAGATGATCGTGGCCAGAGCTTTGTTTATGGCGAGGGTGGTATGAACGCATCCGCCCGCAATGGCATGTCGGGCATCGGATTTCCACACCGTCGGCGCACGAAGATCGAGCAGAGCAATGGGTATAGCCCAATCTTCAACGATCGCTTTAGGTTGTCGCTGGAGACTAAATATCCAGATTTGGTATTCGTTCGCTGGACTATCTGGAGCTCACAGGATGGGCGCAGTGCAGGAAGCAATAGTAGTGTCCAGCTTGCCACATTCACTGCGAAGCTTAGCAGCCTGTCCCAAGGATACCGCTACTTGCCCCTGTATGATGGCGGCGGAGACCAATATCTGTTCTCAACCTTATTCTGCAAGATCACAAAAGAAGACCCGATGTCTGTTCAGCGGCTTGATGCAGAAGAATTGAGAGCTGAGCGGATGGGTATTCTTCGACAGATCGGGCAGACCGTCTTCAAGCGCACATCATCTACGGAGCGTGAAAAGGGTAATGACGTGGTAGCGAGCGCAGAGGACAAGGATAGTTCTCCAGATCTGACACCGACTATTTCTGCAGCGTCCACTTCATCGTTGCCTTGTTGAAGCCTTGCAACAAGCGTTGTCAACTGTGGCGTGCTACCAGGATGCCAATCTCACTTTTCCATTTCCACCTTTTCCATGCGACTCTTCATCTCTGGTTTCGTTGGTCTCAAAACATGTGCAAATAAACGGAGCGGCGTTCTTTAAACTTTCATTGCATCTATTGTGTCCTTTTCCGGACTTTTCCTTTGGCTATTACTTTCGGGGACTTTGGCGCAGTACGGTTGCTGAGGTCACTGGAGGGCCTAAAGGAGAAACCGTCATCTGCTTGTTTGTCTCTACTCTGTGTTATTAAAGGGCGATGCATGGTTGCATTGCGAGTGAGGTACGGGCGCTCCTTGATATTTTCTTCCTTTGTCTTTTTCTTCAGTTCCATTTGCGATTGGATTACTTCTGTTCTATCTAGCGATACCCTCTACTTGTGCTCTACTCTGTTGTGTGTTGCATGGCTGTGCACTTATTCTACTTCTCATGATGTTTTTTTTTTCTTTTTTTCTTTTTGTTTGCAGCGAATCTTGCCCATCATAGTTCTTCATTTATTTGTCTTCAGGGTTCGGGGTTAGGGCGGCATTTCACGCGTTATCATCATCGGATAGGATGGCAGCATTCAAGGAGTCAGCAGGGAATGGTTGCATCATTGGTCACAATTGGCGGCGGAATAACATGTACAAGAGCGTGGATTGAAGTCAACGCTTTCGATCGAGCGGTGTACTTGCTCGCTCAATCCTTTTCCATTGCTCTGAGGGTTCTAGATGAATCTCCGACATGAGGCGATGTCATGTCTATCTTTACGTTTCATATTCTTGTTTTAATATTAAACGTGCGCTGGGACGCTCATTCGATTCCAGGCCATTGTGCAAGTATGGCGATCTTTAGTCTTTTCTCTTTCCCTTGTAAGGTAGGCCTTCTTATTGTCCGTCCATAGGGATAGATACTAGTATTTATCATCTTGTGAGGCATTTAAGGGCTAGTTGGGCGACGTGCGCTGCGGTAAGTGATAAGTTTTTGACTGATTTTATGCCGTCACCGCCCTCGGAAAGGCAACGTGACGACTTTCGGCCTCCGCCTTCCGTGCCATCAACCATACGCTGTATACAGCACACAGTAAATAAAGACAATTGGCAATTCCTTTCGCAATTGTACTACACCATGGATCCATTCTCGGCAGAAGGTGGTAAGTGTTTCGGGATTATACTTCCTAAAGTTGAGTGTAGTACCTTCCAACTCATACTCCTCTCTCCACAGAACTCATCAACATTCACAATGCCTTCCATCAAGGCCAGTACCAGGAGGTGATCGACTTCGATACATCGGCCCTATCCTCTGAAAACCACCTTCCTGCTCGCGTCCTACAGCTCCGCGCCAAAATTGCCCTGGGACAGACTGACCAGGTTCTCTCCGATGTTGACGGCGAAGAAGACACCCCCGACCTTGCGGCAGCGAAGGCATTGGCGCAGCAAACATCCGGCGACAGCGAGTCCGCCCTGAAGCTCACACAGGACCTGGCGGAGAACTATCCTGATAATGCTACCGTGCAGGTTCTGGGTGGAACAGTGCTGCAGGCGCAGGGGTTGAGCGAGGAGGCTCTGGCTTTGTTGACGAAGCACCAAGGCAATCTGGAAGCGTATGTCTGAAGTCGCTTTGGTCTCCGGTTGGAGGGAAATGCTGATCCGTGGCTTACCGTGATATGTACAGTGTTGCATTGATCGTTCAGATCCACCTTCAGCAGAATCGCTCCGATCTCGCCCTGAAGGAGGTGCAGACTGCCAAGCGGTGGGCTCAGGATTCCCTGCTTGTTAATTTGGCCGAGTCGTGGGTTGGTTTGAGGGTTGTATGTGCTCCAATTATGTTGTTGGTGTCGATTTTTTTTTAATGAGATAACTGACGGATGGTTTTGTTTATTCCTAGGGCGGCGAAAAGTACCAATCTGCTTTCTACGTTTATGAAGAACTCGCCGCTGCCCCTAGTACATCTGCCCCGCTCTCGATCGTCGGTCAGGCCGTGGCTGAAATCCACCTCGGCCGGTTGCCAGAAGCTGAAGCTGCGTTGACGACAGCTCTGGAGAAGTACCCCGAGGACGCGGAGCTCATTGCCAACAGCATTGTGCTGAACGTTTTGGCCGGAAAGCCGACCGAGGAGCTCGAGGCGTACGTATCACATTCCTCTTCGAGTTTTTGTTCCCATGTCTTGGAACTTGCTAACGGGTATATCTTTGGGCACAGGCGTCTACAGAACGTGCAGTCATCGCATGCTCTGTTGGCTGATATTCAAGAGAAGAGTGCATTCTTCGATACCGCTGCCGCGAAGTATGCGCCGAGAGTGTCGTCTTAGGTCCCTTTTGCATATCCTCCTTTTTTCTCTTTTATATTCGATTCTCACTCTTCTTCCTCGTTCGATCCGGTGTTTTGTTACTTTGATGATTTATACGACGGCGTAGCTATTCTATTGTGCCAGGTATTATCGGCGCTTGCCTTTATTCCCATTGCTATCGTCCCAGTTGTGGAAATCTGATTTCATGATAGACATTAATACTCAACGTGTTTGGTGTAGTGAAAGCGCTCCGAGTGTTCCCCTTCCGCCTTTGACCTGCAGGTTCAAGAGGCTAGATACTCAAGTGTACATAGATACCAGGATGATGGCTGCTCAGCTAACGCGCTAGAGACGAGACCGCAACCACTCCTTCAATCCCTTCCCCTGCTGTGTCTCCTTTCCAATAAAACCAGCGCTGTAAACCGGGGCCACATGAGTCTCCCCATGCCCTACAAGATACGTCGTGTTCGGTACAACCGACTAAACCGCCGTTAGCATCAAGATCCCCTGTTCTTCACAAACCTAGGAAATTCCACCCCCACCCCTAAAAAGGAAGGGGGGGAAACATACATACCTGAAACCTCTTCACAAACGCATCAATTGGATCAAACAAGATCTCATCCTTGCCAGCCAAAATCAACACCTCCTTCACCTTTGCATCCCTCCACCATTCAATCGGTGCCCGACTAGGCTCACTCCACGCATCGCCCTCCTTCCCCTCCGCACCCAAATACAAGCGTGACCACCGATCCAAAATCTCCGGCCCAATCATATCCTTATACTGGTTCTCCCGCATGGAGGCGCCCTCACCGGCGAAACTCACCCACGGCGCGAAGGCAAACAACCCCGCCAAGGGCGCTACGTCGCACACAGGCTCGATCTCGGGATGTGGGTGGGACAGATGCAGGAGGACGGCTAGGGCTAGATTTCCGCCTGCAGAGTCGCCGCCCACGATCACGTTGGCCGGGTCGCGGTTCGTCTCGGTGAGGATGTAGCGGAGGGCCTCGACGGCCTGCCGGAGTTGGGTCGGGTAGACGGCGTGCGGGGTGAGGCTGTAGGTGACCAGGAAGAAGGCTATGTCGTGGCCTTCTGCGCTGAGGGTGTCGATTACATGGCTGTAGAAGGCCATATGGCCGGCTGCGCCGGGCACGGCGAACCCGCCGCCTGTTTTGGGGGGGGTGCGTTAGCAGTGTACTACTTCCTTCAACAGCATGTACCCGATATGTTTCTGTGTAGCATAGCATAGCATAGCATAGTCTATAGTGGATGCAATATGCTTAGACATGCTATGTACTATTGCGGCACAATACAAAAGGTACGGACGATAGTAGACGTATTAACTATACCATGGTAATAGATGACCACATTTTTGGCATTCTTGTTTCCGATCCAGTGGCCCTGTGCACCGTGTTTGAGAGGGACGGTCTCGGGCTGGAGGCCCTTTTTCTGCAAGGATGTCTCGTAGACGGACCTTGTGGAACCGTTCATGTATCTTTTTATATCGCTAGTTAGTCACGATCGCGGGTATGCTTCTTTGCCAAATTAGGGATTCTGTACTGGAACTGTTCTGCGCTTAGTCTATCGCACAGTTTTCTCAACGCTGCGTTGCCGACGTGGAGCCCGTATGTTGATGCGCCGCTTGGGCCTCGGAAGATGCCCGTTATGGCGCTGTAGAGCGCTGTGCCCAAAACGGTCAGCTGAGCATGGACGAGGTCTACTCTCCCCCACAAGGAGAGTGAGGTGGATGTCATTATGGTAGTAGGGTATCGAGCTTGATATGTAAGGTGTGTTGATGGAGACGGGCAAAAGGAAATTAATACAATGGTTGTGGTGAAGGAAGAAATTGGAGAGGTGAGTGAATTGCCGGAGCTGAAAGATTAAACTATAATGGCCTGAAGAGACTAGTAATTCCCCGCGGCTGAAGTAGATCATGGATGGGTTGGATGTTAGGTTAGCTTTGCTTCTTTTTACCTCGGTTGCTACGGGCCGAGTATAGATAGGTTAATTTCTTTGGTTCGGTTCATGGCAAGATAGCGGATCCAAGGGAAAGTATTATAAGTCGTATTGCTGTAGCTATTTTTACATCCATTCGTTGCTGTTAAGTAAATAGTTTAGTTGCCGTTCACCATGTCTTCCTTGCCGGTCAAATCACAGAAAGCCTTGAAGGTCGTGAACACATTTTCCTCATCAGATCCAGAACCAGTGTTCTCAATGATACACTCCGCATCGGCACCGACAAAGAAAACATAGCCCTCCTTGACTTCCTCTGTCTTATGGCCGACGGTGATCTTGCCGGTGCCTCGGGTACAGATCAGGATGCTGGGTCCTCCCAGCCCATCGAAAGTAGCCTTGGCCCCAGTTCGCTTGAGATCGGTCTTCACCACACTGAACTCCTCAATTGGGGGGTCGTAGAGCAAGGACGACGATGCGCTTGAATATGCGGAGGCATTCAGAATCGCATACGGGTATTCCTTGGGTTCTAGCTTCTGTTCTTCAATTGGAGCATAGGAGTATGTCAGCATTTCGGTCAAGGTATCTACATCCTTGAACTTGGGCGTGAAGCCAGCCCGCACGACGTTGTCGGAAGACGCCATGCACTCGATGATGTCGCCAGACACGTAGGCATGAATGTCGTCGGCCTTCAAGAACATGGCCTCTCCCGGTGCAAGCTTGACGAAATTGAGGAAGAAGAACACAAACAGGCCGATATCGTTCGGGAACTGTCCATTGAGACGGGTGATAATAGCAGCCAGCTCCGCTGGGTTGCTGGGGTTTGTCTCTGGGGTGCTAGCAGATGTGCCGAATGTTTCGGGGGAGTTTTGGGCCGCAGCAGTAAGCTCCTTCGTAGCGGCCTCGATGTTCTCGGACGATGAGTTCATCAGCGCCGTGAACACGGTCCGTAAAGCATCCTTATTTTTCTGTATAACAGTGGGATCCTCCGAACCCTCGGACCCCTTGACTGCACCCAGAAAGTGGTCGACTGCATCTGTTCCAATCAACTGACGGAGGGGTGCCACGGCGTTGAGAAAATGGGAAATCTCCGCTAAGGGACGGAAACCACAGAGTCCTTCGAAGGGGGTAATTGCGATGGTCATCTCGGGCTTGTGATTGTCATCTGCAAAGACTACGTTAGAAAATGTAGAGTGCAATGGAATATCCCTATGCGTGGGCTTTATTATATACCTGGATAGTTGCGAGGATCTCTAGCATGGAGCTTCTCTGCGAGCTTCTTGTTCGGGTGCGCTTGGATACTGAGGGCTTTGTGGACCGAAAGTACCTTGAAGAGGAATGGCAGTTTCCCACCATATTTCTCGCTAACCTCCTTGGATAACAAAGCTTGGTTGTCCTGGACCATATCGAGGAGGGTTCGCTGAGTCTCGACGTCTTTCGAAGGGAGGGAAGGATGCGTGCCCATCCATAGCTATTACTAGGAAATAAGCGATTGCCTGAGATCGGTAAGTAGTCTCGAACTGACCTCTGCATAGGGTTTCTCGGATTCTATGGAGAAGTCTGGCGCAGCTGTTGTAGCTGCATAGCGGGCAGCTGCCGACTCTTGGCCAATCTTGCCTAAGACAATACTCAGCAACTTATAGAGTCAAGATGTTGTGGAGTTGTATGTACCCCAATCATAACTGTTGACACCTGTCAGAGTGTATACCGTGATTAGTATTTATTAGAAGAAGGTTATCGACAAGGGAAATGACCAGAGATCATACCACATTGGAGTCGAAGCAAAGGCACCTGCATTTTGTAGAGCGTGACGTAACAAGAAGGATTGGAGTGAATGTAGGTCGAAAAGTAAACACAAGAGGAGTTTAGGCAAGAGCGCCCCCAAGGGTCTGATGATTCACTGAAAGGTGTTGGAAAGAGAAAGAGAATACAAATTGAGTCAGTGAGTCTTTTCTCTCTGTTGTAAAAGTTTCCTCTACCTCTCCACGTCCCGGTCTGACAAGAAGCCAACCCACTTTCCACTTCCAGGGCAGCCCCTCCATCAATACTAATTAAACCCGATTAGGATGACCGGAAGCGTTCCCGTGACTAAAATGGGTGCCACCAATGGCGGCGTGCATTGGCCAGCCAAGCGCTTACCGCTTAACCGCGATGGGAACTCCGCCAGCTATAGCCGCCAGGTCGGGGAACCATTATCGTCTCCGCGCCAGCTCGAGCCAGGCGAGCACCCTACTGAAGAGACTCCAAGCTCGCCTCTGAGCTCCTTTAGTCGCCCGCACGACCTCCGGCAGGGTGCGGCTCGTGGCACGCGAAGTGCACGTCGCAAAGAGATTGTCTCCGCTTTTTCCTGGGAGGCCTTGAGTATCGAGAAAGCTAGAACCGGGGAGCTTGCGATCTCGTCCGGAAACAGTAAAGGTCCGCAACAGCGCCCAATTGTTGCTGCACGTCCCAGTACACCTCCGTCCAACATGTCACGGAATCGTCCTAGGGGCCCTCCGCTGCCTAGAGACAATGGTCTGGCGGCCAATGAGGAAACTGATATGTGGAATAAGATCCTACAGGATTTACGAAAGGCAAAGGAGAAGAATGATAAACAGAAGTCATTAGCCGAGCAGATCTCTGCCTTGAATGAGAAGATTGGCAAAGATGGTGGGAGTGAGTACCTTCCTCTGTTATCCCTCTTTATTTCCTTTTCCTTTTCCTTTTTTGCTCTACATTGGCTGTCTGAAGAAATGGAGTATACCTGGGTCTCCGCTATCATGACCCGGCCCCTTGGCGTTGAGATGATGTCATGCTATCAAGAATCATGGCAGCATGAACTCTCTCAGTCCATCCAGCTATGCCCTATGGGCTTGCTAGATCATATTCAGTAGCTAGCACATGCTAATCGTCATCCGCAGAGCCAAGTCTACATGAGCATAACCAGCTGGACAGTCTATACCGGCAAATGCTTAAACTTTGCGAAGATGAGAGGGCCATTCTTCAAGATGAGCCGAGTGATGTGATCAAGAACTTGGGCCTTCTGACTGCACTTCGTCAGGCATCTGAAGCAGAGGCGCCACTTAACCGTGCGGCTGCTCTTGGGAAATCTCGTAAGAAGAGAAATGACGTGGATGGTTCAGCTACGGACTCACCGGGGCCTTCGGGTGCCTCCCTGCCGGACAAAGCTGGTCGTATTAAGGGAGGCATCCAACGTGGCTCCAGTGTATCCAGCAATCAGGCTCGTGACAGCCGTGATAGCCGAGATGTCCACGTCAAAGTGGAGGAAGGGACGGAAGGCACCAAGGGTACACTCGCAGAGCGCAATGGGCATTTGGTGGTTGGGGCCGAAGTAGTCTTCAAGCATAACAAGAACAAGCAAGGGGTCGAAGGTGAGGGGATCCAGTGCATCATCAAAGGGATATCTGGAGATGGACATAAGAAGCGGTATGGCATGACGACCCCGGGCGTCCTTACCTCTCAACTGACCGATCATCCTTTCAAGGTATGATGTACAGGATCCTGAGCCGAATGAAAATGGCGAACAGGGAGCGGTTTACAAAACTACCGCTGCGTCTTTGATCCCAATACCACAAGTTGGCTCGACATTACCAAGTTTTTCGGTAGGAAAACAAGTTCTGGCTCGATACCCGGATACTACGACGTTCTACCGGGCGGAAGTGATGGGCTCCAGAAAGGACACTTACCGCCTCAAATTTGAAGGCGAGGAAGATGACAAGGAGATGGAAGTGGACCGTAGGTTTGTCCTTGATATTCCTGGAAAGTAAAGGAAGCAAAGAGATACCAAAGGCTACACAAACAAGAAGAGAGAGAGAAAAAAAAAAAAAAAAAAAAAAGGGAAAAGGAAAAAGAGCGAACACGACAACAAATACTGCATATTGGAATCCCAAGTATTCGGTGATTATGATGATACCCTTTGAACTAAATTGATACAAATTTAAGGAAGGAGTCTTGGATGGAATCGAAGCGTCCTCGCAATTGATGGTTGATTGGGCCAGCTTAGGATAGTACTACTAGTGCCTAGAAATCAATGGTCTTGACTGACTTGACTAGTTTCGCTAAGCTCAGGCATTCTATGCATCAGTATGGCCAGCGTAAAGCTTGATCCCTCTTAAGGTCGGCGAAGCCAAGTAGATCATAATTCAGATACTCTTGCGAAATAAGTCCGATGCGGGTATCATGTTCCAATAGGACGCCGATCTTAAGGCGGGATGCCTTAATTTCAATGGAAATTCTTCAGGATATGGCAATCTGTTAGGTAATAAGTGTATACGGCGTAGAAACGAATAGAGCATTCGACCGAATAAAGCCCGGTCTATCTTCTAACCGCGATAAGATGGGATTTCCACGATCAAATGCGATCGTCAATTGAGCTGTTAGCGAGGGGTGGGATGGAAAATATCTGAAGTCATTGAAACCGGGGAAGAAATAGAATCAAAATAACAGTTGGAAATTTTTGGGTCAAAGAAAACTTTCGGGATACAGAAACTTTTGAGGCAAGGAAAAATGGGGGTTTCTAACATCATATCATTGGATGTGAGCGTCTGGATTCTGGAAGGGCACCTGACTAATGTAAACCGTCAGGCCTGACTAATGGAAAACCTGAGTCAGCCATGCCAAACCCTCCCCCGCCCCAATGCGCCGCCAAGTGCTGTGTCATTCCCGCGGATCCGAGGGAGATATATGCATGGCAATGTGATCATACTCGGTACAATTGACTGACCTTCTGGAGCATGCGCCTGTTCTCACATTGGATTAACCCTTGACCGCGTTCTGTTATCTATTGAATTCATACCCATCATATGTATATGGTCGCTTAAGCACTGTTCTTCTCACCCTGATTCCGCAATCGCATTACTCGTTTCTGCCATGTCGAACCTACCATCTCACGCCTCGCCGGCATTCACGGCGCAGGACTCTTCCTCTCATCAAGTGGTCGATGATATACCTCTGGACTCTACCTCCGTGGCTACACCATCATTGAACAGCAGAATAGGCGAGCTCCGTGGTGATGCCTCAAATCAACCTGACGCCACAGAGCACACCCGAGGCGATGTCACCCCCGCAGTGCCTGCCTCTCTTCTCTCCCCTTCCTTCACCCCCCCAGCAACACCAGGTGGTACGCTAAACCACGCGCAATTACTTCAGCAGACTTCACAACCCACGCACACCAAACCCCCTAAGCTCCTCTCCTGCCTTCCAAATGTCGAATGTATTGTTCGCGCACGGATCCCAACCACCAATGGGGCCGAGATGTTCCTTCACCTCTACCACAATGACTTAGACAACAAAGAGCATCTAGCAATTGTGTTCGGAAACAGTATTCGATCCCGAAGTCTGGACGCAGTCCGTCCGGGGGAAACAGAAATGGACCGAATGATCCGTGGGGCATACATCGGTACCCTCCGTCCCGGCCGAGTTAGCAGCTGGCATGATAGTACCGCAAATACCGAGGGCGCTTCTAGTGGACAAGGGCGGAGTACCCCAAGTCACCCTAGTTCGTCACAGACACCCGAGTTAGCGCAGAATAACACAAATCAAGCGCCGCTGGTTAGGATCCATTCGGAATGTTACACCGGCGAAACGGCATGGTCCGCGCGCTGTGATTGTGGTGAACAGCTCGACGAGGCGGCTCGATTGATGTCTCTCCCGATGGAAACTTTGAATGAGGCGGCATCCCAGCAAGAATTATCGGTGCCTTCGAATGCATCTGGCGGCGTGATCATTTACCTCCGCCAAGAAGGCCGCGGGATTGGCCTCGGAGAAAAGCTCAAAGCGTATAATCTTCAAGACCTTGGATCGGATACCGTCGAAGCCAATCTACTCCTTCGACATCCTGCAGATGCCAGAAGCTACGGTCTTGCCACAGCGATGTTGGCGGATCTCGGTCTCGGTGTTGATTCCAACCCACATGGAATCCGCCTACTGACAAACAACCCGGACAAGATCCGGGCGGTTGAGGGACCGAATCGGGAAGTAGTTGTGAAGGAAAGAGTACCGATGGTGCCCTTGGCCTGGCGAACCGGCGGAAAGATGGGAATTACGAGTTCTGAAGTCGAAGGTTACTTGCGGACAAAGGTCGGTTTTCCCCCCACTGATCCCGATGCGAGTACTAACATGGCGAACAACACGATAGATTTCGAAGATGGGTCACATGCTCCAATAAAGGATCCAGTTCACCAATCTTCTTTGCTTTCATGCCTTGCACGATTTTCCCCATGAGTTTTACGTGGAGGTACTGTTCCTTCGATGCTTTTGCTGCTTTGCTGTATAAAAGGCTCTATTCGGATTGCTTGTCGTATCTGCGGTGCTGTATATCTCTCATCTTTTCCTATTCTCTATACGATCATTATACCTAGTGTTACGTCGGACTACGTCTTGGGCATTATGAGATATTACTAGATTGGGCATTGTCTGTGATGCGTTACCGGGGTTTGGGAGTGACCGTTCGAGCTTTTGGCTTGCCATATACAAAGTTAATACATTTTTGGTATCGTAAACTTAAAAAGAGACCAAGCAGGCAAATTGTCATGTGAAGGTTCCGGGGTACAACTTGTATGACTCCTACAGTCGGGTTAGGCTGTGGTTTTGATTTTAATTTTCCCATCGGACGGTCGATCGGGAACGCCACTGCCGGCACTCTTCAACGGGCGAGATCAAATCAATTACGACAATTAATTTGTCTCGATAATCCTGGCGGCATTCTTGAGGTAACATCGACAAGGGTTCGAACGATAAAGTTCAGCGGGACTCCACTTGTTCCAGACTCGTTCGTAGTCATGCCCCGAAACGTTGTCGGCTGAAAAAGTATCGTTCTTCTTCTTCTTCTCACACCACGCCATTTCTTTTCCTTTACGACGTCGATGCTGATCCTTTCTGAGCTTTTGATGATCCCAGGTACTATCCTGGATACTCCTGTCTGAATCCTTCCGGCCGTCTTGAATGGCCCTGACGTTCCGATAACCACGTGAGAAGGAGGTCATGGCCAATCGCCTGCCTCCTCTGAATGATGTGGCCCCTTCCCCGGCCCTCAACTCTACTTCCTCGGGAACCCGGGAGACTCCAGTCGCGACCGACCCCGTCAACTTGGACTCGGAATATGTGAAACTGGAAGATTCACCGACGCCATCCGCATTGACGTCCGCGGATGCAGATGCAGAAACACCGGCGCCAGACACTGGCGGGCCTGCGGGGCGGAAACGCAAGTTGAATAGTAGTTCCGCACGAGGTGTAGCCAATCTCACTCCCGAGCAGTTGGCGAAGAAACGAGCCAACGACCGGCAGGCTCAACGGGCAATTCGTGAGAGGACTAAAGCTCATATAGATTCGCTGGAACACCGCGTCCGCGAGCTCTCTTCCCAGAAGCCATTTTTGGATCTCCAGGCGGCGCTGAAGCAGAATGAAGCCATTCAAGCCGAGAACCGCGACATCAAACAGGCATTGAAGGCGATCATGGACGTCATTCAGCCTCTAGTCGGGAAGCACGAAGCGTCTAGTGCTAGTAAGTCTGACCACTGGTGCCGTAAAACTACCCACCCATGTTCTCAGGGATCATTAGAGCTAAATAGGCGCTCCCAGATCCTCCCGCCGCTGCAGCCGCTTCCTCGGGCACGCATTCGGCCCCCCCTTTGTCTACAGCACTACCATTTGCAAAAACCAGTTGCTTCGGTGACACCAGGCCCACCAATGTCGACCATTCTTACTCCGAAGCTTCCGCGAGAATCGAAACGCCGTCATCCACACACTCGGCGCCTTTGTTAGGCACCATCCGGCGCGAAAGCGCCACAAATGGGGCATCGGCTTCGTTTCGCATTGCGTTTGACTATCAGCGGCATAACCTGACGCATGGGTTGGATTTTGGGAACGATGAAAGGATGGCCTTTAACTTTCTACTGGATGCATCACAACAAGTTCCGAAAGTGGAGGGCTTCCGTCGCTCGCCGGGAAACTTCCGAGCGGCCCCAATGAACGCTCCTCCGGCCTACCCATCGCCGATCCACGGATCCATGGCGGAGCATTCTCTGCCCGCCTACATGACGCCAATCCGAAACATTACACCAACCTGCACGCTGGATGCCATCCTGTTGGACTTTCTCCACCATCGGCAGCGCGAAGCAGCCTCGGGGGTCCCCCAGCAAAAGCTAGTGGGGCCTCCTTATCCCAGTGTCTCCTCCCTGCTCAACCCAGAAAAAGGCGCTTACTCACATCCGTTGTCGAAGGTGTTCACTGATATCCTGCGCACATTTCCAGATATTTCCTCCCTTCCGGAGCAAGTAGCTGTCTTATATGTCATGTTCCTTCTCATGCGATGGCAGATCTACCCAACGCCTGAAAATTATGATCGGCTACCAGAATGGTCGACTCCGCGCCCATCGCAACTTTTAACGCCACACCCCGCCTGGATTGATTACTTGCCGTGGCCACGGATGCGCGATCGCGTCGTGATGGCACACCAGGACTACCCTTTTGACAATTGGTTTATACCATATACGCATACACTGTCAGTCAACTGGCCATATGAGGAAACAGATTGTCTTTTGTCGACGGGAGATAACGATGAGTTGATCATCAATCCCGTCTTTGAAAGGCATCTACGCAACCTCAACAATTGGAGTCTCGGCCCTGCATTTGCGGAAGCGTATCCGTCCTTGGCTGACACAGCCAGAATTAAGAACCAGCCCTAACCGTATCTTCAGTACGGGCCAATCTTCCCCGAGCAGCCACCGTATAGACAGATAGTCCGGTGGAATTTCGTTATATATATGTTTGAGCAATTCCGGTCACAAGGCTCAGGCGGGGTATCCATTTTTGAGATTATCCTCTATACATTCTCTAGGCGTCTCCTTGTCTTTCGTCCTTCGTTTCGGTGTTGGGTTTCCTTTTTTTTTTTTTGGTGATTCTTGTCCCTAACTCTTTCCTCTACCATGTTTGGCATGCCACTCGGATACTTACCACACAACTGCCTGAAAAACGGTAGAAGTTTTCCGAATTATGCTGGCTGTACAGTGTATGGAGGAATGGTAAACATACTGACCTTTGGGATATAGCATCGTAACAATAGAACTTCTGAACACGATAGCCTCATCCGCTTCATGTTCTGAAAGATCGGGTTTAGGATCCTCCTGAGTTGTCGGGAAACACCCGACGTAGATCTAGAATTAGTGCCATATACTAGAGACTGCAGCAGCAGCAGCAGTTAGACCTCGAAGGTATAGATAGTCAAATCCAAATGGAACTGTGTTTTATTTGATCCCGCCTTGTCTCGCCTCCATTGTGCCTCGTAGTAATGGAAGCCAGGGAGCCATTTCCCATATTTACGTGGCGCTCAAAAATTAATCTAATGTCTGAATGATAAATGAATCCATCTCTTCCATGGGCCAATCCCAACTTCACTCCTTCCGACTCTTCTCATTCCAGAAAGCCATTCCCGCCTTCTGACGCAAAACGCCGTACATTGAGCTGCTATCCAGACACTCGCCAGCATACTCCCTCGCAGCCACCATGTTCTCATGCGCGACCTTCAGACCGGGAAGCTCAACATTATGCTCCTTCGCCATGGCAAATGCATGGTTCGCATCCTTAATAGCAAGGGACACACCGAACCCAGGCCGAGATTCCAACGGCGGCGCATAGGCACCGGTCGTCAATCTGTAACTCGTCAGCGATGTACTAAATATAAAGCAGAGATTCTAAACTACGCCACCTTTTCGAATATCCACCAGCCACGGCGCCAAAAGCTTCCCCGATGAGCTCTTCCATCGGACCAGTGCCGAGTCCCGTACGCTCGGCGAAAACCTGGGCTTCTCCGACAGCTTCCATCATATTAACGGTAACGATATTACTGATAATCATCAGTATTGCTCCCTTAGCGCGTAAAAGCGAAGAAAAAAAAAATGGAGTAGAAGGTATCTCATACCCAGCAATTTTCAAAAGCGAAGACTTAGTCGCATCCTCACCACAATCAATAACCTTGCGACCCATAACATCCTGAATCAACGGTTTCACCACCTCCGAGGCCTTCTTCGGCCCCGCAAGGGCAAAGACGAGCTTCCCATCCACCGCGATCGGATTGCCGCCGAACACAGGTGCCGCCAGGAAAGACGCTTGCTGTTCTCTCAGTTTGGAGACCGTTAGACCCACCGTTTCGGGGTGGACGGTCGAGCAGTCTACGAAGATCTTGTCGCGGAGAGAATGTCCGGATCCAATGGCGGATGTGATTAGTTGTTGGAGGACTGTGTCGTTGGAGACCTTTTTTCATGTTAGTTCTATGGAATGCGATTGTTTTAGCTGTACGCACCATGGTGAAGATGATCCCGCATTGACCGACGAGTTTGGCGAAGCTGGTCTCTGGGGTCGCACCTAGGGTTTTGAGAGGGTCACCGCGTGCCATGGTCCGGTTCGAGTAGATTAGATTCATGGCGTTTTTGGTCGCCAGGTGTCTTTGAAGATTGGAGGCCATGGCTAGGCCCATGGAGCCTAGGCCATACTGTTTGTATAGGTTAGTAACGTTGCTGTTTAGTGGTTCTTGGGCTGATCATACCCAGCCGATGCGAGTCATGTTTGATGGTACAATTGGCTCTAGAGTTAAGGATGGTTGTGAGAGATACGAGAGGTTATGAGCTACGAGAAGGGAGTAGATGCTGTTGTTGTTCTTAACGATAATCGATAACCGGGCGGTCCCGATACCGGGCGGACAACTGCGACAGGGTTGTTTCTAGTCATTTACCATGAGAATGGTTTGACTGACCGGCCATGATTATAGACGTCCATCGTATACTATGTTAAGCGGTTATACATGGAATTCTCACCTCCATCAATCATCATTGTGAGGATTCTGGCATGGCTAATGCTGGATGTTGAGAGCCGAGGTGGCCCTTAGTCCACAACCAAGAAGAAACATTTTGCTTATTTGGTCCTGCGGGAACAATTCGTTATACTCAGTTTACAATCGTGGCTGATAAAGTGGTTTAGTAGTAGTACGATGTCCTGTGGAGGTGAGCTCGTCGGAGTTAACAGTCCCCAGGCATCGGGCGTTCAGGCACCCAGGCATTCCACTCACGGGCAACAGTGACGACGACTGACTTGACTGCACCGCCAGTCCGTAACGTTGCTCGTTCTCCTTCCCCTCATATTCTCTATCAACTCCCCCAGATTTTCCCCCCACCCCTGACCACATCCTCATGATTGCGTTTGTTTGTCACTTTGGAATTGTTTAAGCATTTATCTTTGTAATTCGCATCCAACACCATGGCGGAGATGCCCATTGGTAAGCTTGATCCTCCGCTCCTGACAGCTCCTGCCTGGTGCTCCCGTCCTGTCAACTAACCCATGCCTTCAGTGCTCGACGGAGGAACCGGTTTCCTCAAGGTCGGATATGCTGCGCAGGTATGTTCTCTACTGGCACGATCTATATAATATTCGAAGGGCGATTTATTTACTTGGTTGCTGTTCGTTAGAACTTCCCCGAGCATCAGTTCCCCTCAATAGTGGGGCGGCCCATACTGCGAACTGAGGAACAGGCTGGCGACATTGTTGTCAAGGATATTATGTGCGGAGATGAAGCTGCCGCTGCCAGATCAATGCTTCAGATCAGCTATCCTGTACGTCCCCTCCTTGCGGCTCGTTGTCGCTCTCTGCTTGTGCGCCTCCAAGTTGCTGAATCGTGCCCAATGGATAGATGGAAAATGGAATAGTGAAAAACTGGGATGACATGCAACATCTATGGAACTATACCTTTTATGAGAAGTTGGGCATTGATCCCACCGGTCGCAAAATCCTTCTTACCGAACCCCCCATGAATCCCTTAAAGAACCGCGAGAAGATGGCTGAGGTTATGCTGGAAGGCTACAACTTCGGTGGTGTATATGTCGCTATTCAAGCTGTGCTTGCACTATACGCCCAGGGTATGTACTAGGACTCCCTTTGACTTGGGAGCGTAAGAACCTCATATGGTCTACTAGGTCTCAGCAGCGGTGTGGTTGTCGACTCCGGTGATGGTGTCACGCACATTATCCCGGTATACGAATCTACAGTTCTGAATCACCATATCCGTCGATTGGATGTCGCGGGCCGTGATGTCACCCGCAACATGATCGCCCTCCTCCTTCGCCGCGGTTATGCCCTGAACCGTACGGCCGACTTCGAGACGGTGCGCCAGATTAAGGAGAAGCTTTGCTACGTTTCTTATGATTTGGAGTTGGACAAACAGCTCTCGGAGGATACAACTGTTCTTGTCGAGTCCTACACTCTCCCCGACGGTCGGGTCATCCGTGTAGGAAGTGAGCGTTTCGAGGCTCCCGAGTGTCTCTTCCAGCCGCACCTGGTGGACGTGGATCAGCCCGGTATCGCCGAAATGCTCTTCAACACCATCCAGGGCGCCGATGTGGATGTTCGCTCCAGCTTGTACAAGGCTATCGTGCTCAGTGGAGGAAGCAGCATGTACCCTGGTCTGCCATCACGACTGGAGAAGGAGCTGAAGCAGCTGTGGCTCACACGTGTATTGCACGGAGACCCGGAGAGGCTGAATGTATGTTTAATAATATCCGTCACGGAGATATACGCTAACTCTGGTCTAGAAATTCAAGGTGCGGATTGAGGACCCGCCAAGACGGAGACACATGGTCTTCCTGGGCGGTGCTGTCCTTGCTAACCTGGTAAGAGCTTGAGCCCTATCCACACTTATATACACAGCTTGAAACTCTGGTCATCTAACTATCTCTCAGATCGCCGACAAGGAGGATATGTGGGTCAGCAAACAAGAATGGCAAGAACAGGGTGCTCGTGCCCTGGAGAAGCTTGGACCCAGATAAACGTAAAACCGTTGTTCACCTCTTTCCCCCCCCCCATTTTCCTAATCTATTTAAACACCTTCCTTACTGCCCATGTACAGCATCCTCTTATCTCTGGGAGATCGCCCTTGATGTTCATGTCATATAGGGATCTAAGGACAGCGTGCACTGCGCCCTACATTTCCTGTTCTTGTACCTAGTATAGAGAAACCAAGCCAACTTGATCGACCCTGCGGAGCCTTTGCACAGATTCCCCCGCAACCCATCGTCGAATGTAGAGAAGTAGTATGAATATTGCATAGTTTGCACCCCCCGGCAAGGGAGAGAAGTGTCAAGTAGAGAAGTTTTCAAGACTCCCCTACTCCTATACCCCGAACACAGCACTGTATCCCATAACCAACAAGAAAGGAACCAAAAGTACAAGACCAAGAATGGAAGTAAAAATGTACATTGACCAAACCAAAAAAAAATAGGGTAAACCACGAACACTCTAAATCAACACCGCCATGTAACAAAAAGACAGTGACCAAGTCTATAATATAACTCAAGCAATGAATGGTAATAAACATATAAAAAGAAAAGTAAGAAAGGAAGGTAAAGGTAAGATATAAACAGACCCGGGGCTTTTCAGGTAAAAAAAAAAAAAAATATCCGAAATGATAAGCAACGACTAACATAACCGGATCATGGATCCGGTTAATTAACGAGATAGATATCAAGTGAATTCTAGTCGTCGCTGTCGGATTCGACTTGTTCGTTTTCGATGGACTTTTTCCTCTCCTCGTTCATTTCGCGGTAGGTACTCCAGCTCAGCAGGAAGAAGGCTGCGATGATGAGGATGCCGCCGATGATGGAGGATTTGGAGAGGGGTTGGCCGGTTCGGAGCCAGTCGACGATGGCGACGAGGAAGATGGTGAGGAGAGAGGCGACGGAGGAGAGGACCGGGGAGGTGAGGGAGATGAGGACTAGGAAGGATCCCGAGAAGGCTGTTTAGATGGAGTGAACGCATGGTCAGTTTTGATTTTTTTGATTTTTTTGTAATGGATGGGTTTCTTGGTATGCCCCTTTGGGGGTTGGGGTTGGGGTTGGTTTTTGGTTTTTACTTGGGGGTTTACTGGGGTGGTGGGCTTCATTATAATATGGGGACTTACTGGCATTGGCACAGACGGAGATGAGGAGCATCCAGGCGGTTTCTCCGGTGGGCCAACGGAAGGTTTCCCAGCCTAGGATGTGGAGGACCGGCAGGGGGATCCAGAGCACGAAGAGAGTAAAGCATCCGATCAGACTGCCGAAGGTGTTTGCGAAGATCATGCTGCGTCCGGCACTGGTGCCTTCCGGCGGGCAGGCGTACTTCTTATATAGTACCTCGTACAGACCGTAGAGTATACTACCGATACCGATGATAAGATTGCCCAAGAGCCTATTGTTTACTTGACCTTCTCCTTTACCCGGGGTGCCATCCGCATGCTTGTCTTCGTCTCTATCTCCATATGCCACCACGAGAACACCCACAATGGCCACAATTACGGCAAATACCTTATCGAAGCGAAGTTTGTCTTTGAGGAGCGGGATGGAGAACGCATAAGCAAAGAAGGCGGAGCAATTGTAGATGGCGGTCAAGTCGCTCGCGGTCGTCATATTGACAGCCAGATACCACGATCCGCCAGCAACTGTGAGGGCCATTGTCACGAAGGCTGTAGTCTTGAGCATGTACGGGATCGGGGAACGGCGGGAGGCTACGTGCATATCTTGAGACTCGACCATCTGTGCGGTCGTTCGGAGGAGGAAGACATGACGTCGCCAGAATGCGCCCCAGGAGAGTTTCCTCTTCTGTATCCGTAGAATAAGGAGTTGGACTGGCCAGAGAAGGGACCACGAACCGTGTGTAAAGTAACTGAGAGTTAGTCACGCAGACGTCAGTCATTGAACAATGAGATGTGGAGATCTGAGCAGCAAAACCTACAGCATACAGAAGGGCTTATCCCAGCCCAGTTCACCCGCGATATATACGGCAGTCTCGGTCTGTATCACGAAACTTGCTAAACTCAGTAGGAGAAAACCGGATGCAATGATGTATTTTCGCCGAGTATCCTGCTCTGCGCTTTGTTCCGTACCGCTACTCCTAACCGTCGGCCTTCGGGTATGGTGGTGCAGCATAGGCCTGCCTTCCGAAGCAGCACCATTACCGAAGCTGGCATTTGAGAATCGCCGTTGCTCATCTTTAAGTAGCGGTTGTTGCGAGTGGCTGTCCGTAACGGACCGGTGGATGGGGGGTCGATTCGTGGTCATTTCCTCATCGGAATCGGGGGCGTCGAGAACCGGCTCGGTGTCCCTGACCTCCTCCTGTCCCAACAGGTGCGAACTATCTGAAGCCACCATGTCTCAATCTTCCGTAACACACAGAAAATAAGGAAAAGAGTAAAAACCTTCACTCAACCACTGGATCCCGTGCGCAGGAGATCCAACCGGAAAAGACAAAGGTAAGGGGGGAGGAGTTGTTCAATCAACTCAAAGGTTGGCGTTGCTTTATGTCGACGACGGATAGAGTAAGGAGGGGAATGCCGAGGCGGACGCAGTAGCCTCCATAGAATTTATACAAAAACGAGAGAATCGGAGGAAAACCAGAGCATAAGGATCGGAATCAGCATCTAGCACTTTCTCGAGAAAGAGTAGATTAGGAGATTTTGGTCGGGGGACCTGCAGCTCATAAATAACAAAACCACCAGGGGATCGTTGCTTGCTGCGGCCACGTTTGCGCCAAGTGTTCCGGTTAAGTTTCTATATGGTAATTCGAATGACGGGAGAGGACGGGGGGAAAAATGAAAGGTTCTTAATTTGGGGACTAATGGCGCAGGAGGCGGAATGACACATGTAAGGGGAGACGTTGAGATTGAAGGGAAATTCAAAAAGGACAGGACAAGTTGAAGGTCAACTCAAATGTAGTCCGTGAGCCTTTTGGCCGTCTGCAGCGAATGATTTGAGGATTCCAGAAACGGGGTTGCGCGCTAAGCCCCTTGGGGTCGTGGCGGGACAGTCACACGTGATTCCGGGTGGGACGCCTGATCACCTTCTATATTTGGCCAGGAGTTCTTGGCGGCGTTGACTAATCTGCGTCAATGGCCTGAATCGGTGAACTGGCCGAGCATACACAGTAAAACAATCATGCATGATTCATTCTGGTCTCCAAGGCCAAGCATCGATTACGTTTCCTATTAGTCAAGCCTTCCTCTTAGTGAACTAGTTAATGCGCAAACCGAAAATCCAATCGCTTATTCCCTGTCTCCTTCGTGCTTGCGATGTAGTCAATTCTCTGCTCCTCCGTCATCCCCGTCCACTTCCGATCTCGGTGACGGTTACGCAGTATATAGTAGACCTTGGTCAGGGCGTACACAGCGATGTTGGTGCACACCAGAGCGAGAAGCACTCGATTGCCCTGCACATAGCGAGGAGCGTCCCCTGGAATGGTTGCCTAATTAGCCAAGGAATTCGAACGCCATATCCCTGGTGAATGGCTTCGGACGCGTCACACTCACAATCTTGGTAGACATTCGACGCGATTATCCCGGATAGCTGCACGCACATGTTATACATAGCCGCTGATAATGCCCGGGACCGCACACTATTGGAGTTGCGAGAGTTCCATCCCGCTTGGAGTGCATGGGCTAGGAAGACATAGCTGTTAGTTTTGATCTGATAGAAACGGGATTGGTGGAACTATTGAACATACGACTAGGGAACGAAAGAATCAAAGTGAGGACTGTCCACGCAACCCATCTCTTGGTCTGACTGAAATCGACTACATTCATATAGATAAGCATTGGGAGGGTCCAGGCTTGGGCCACAGCTCCCATCCATGCAAGGGATCCGAGGACCTCAGCGGCGTAGGTGAGAATGATCCTCGTTACAATCCCTATGACCTGTTCATTGGTCAGCAAATCGCCAGGTAGCTCGGTATTGGCATAGGGTTTAGCCCACGTACACTGCATGGAATGGCGAGCAGGATGACATTGAACTCCCCGAACCCGAAATCAGTCATTAATAGCGTAAAGTATTGGGAAATCGTTGCTGTTCAAACAGTTTAGGTTAGTAGCGTTCCGCGCTGTATGACAAGGGCACAACTGCTAAAGAGAGCGGTGTACTAACTATATGGTACCAAGAATATAAGACCAATCATGTAAAGTGGCCACAGGTCGTAGTCTTTGAAACTCTGCCACACAAGTTTGGCTGTTAAGGGTTCGTTGCTTCCCATAGAGCCCTTACTTGGGTCCTCGCGGATAATTCGATTGACCAGAATTATTTCTTCCCTATCAGCCATATCCAGTTAGTGTCACCCTTGTACGGTCCAAACACGGGGCGCGTATTACCGCTCCGTAAACCAGCCCTTCTTGCCCCGTGCCCAGCTGGCCGTCTGCGTCACAGATGGTGGCAGGAAAAGAAAAGATAGAATGGCGAGAAATAAAGTGAAGGAGCCCTGCATGCCAGTCAATCTTCGTGAAAACACTTGGGAAAAGGAGAATTTTCAAAGTACTAACCTCGATTAAGAAAAGCCAACGCCAACCAGCCTGGCCAGCATAGCCACGGAGATGCAGTATGCCATACGCTAGAAGACCTGCTAGAACGTCCGCGACTGCCTGTGCAGAATACCAGAACCCTAGGCGAATAGAAAGCTCGTGATGCTTATAAAAGTAAGAGAGGTAGAGGATCATCTGCATCTGTAAGCGAGAATCTAAGAATATCTAACAACCAAAGTCACCTACAGTGGGTGTAAACCCTCCTGAAAATATACCAACCAAGGCCCGACAAACCAGGAAAGAAGTCCTATCGCGCAGCCAGAACTGACAGAGAGCCACCAATGACCACGAAGTCATTTGTATGGGAATCCATCTATCGACGCCAATATATTTGCCAATCAGCTGGGCAGGAATCTCGCTTAAGAGATAGAAGAGCTTGAATATGGTATTTCCAAGGTTATAGTCTGAATCATTTGAATCAATCCGTTAGTTTGGGTTCATCGTATCTGTGAGCTCGAGAATGCTAACCATTCCTAGATAATCCGAGATCAGAGAGGAAATTATCGGCGTTGGCTTGCTCTGTGTGGATGCATTTCTTTAGATGATGCCGATCTTATTTGTAACGGGTAAGGCACGTACGGATATTCGAGCGATCAAGCTCCAGTGCTGTCATCATCATGCATGCCAGTACCATGATTCGCATGTCGAGCTTTCTGACAGCTTTCTACATGAGGGTCAGACTACAGTTGTACTCTCCCACGTGAAACTAGACTTCAACTTACATTCTCTTCGCCCCAGGTCCATCTTGCTGATGGGTCAAAGCGGTGAACGTTCTCCCATTCTGGTCGGGGTCTATATTCAGAGATAAGTTCAGGATCGTCGAACACTGACGGCTGGGTTGCGATGGCATTTGGGTCATAGCTTTTCGACCGCTGGAACCAAAAGCGACGGTTGTCAGAGGTATCGCCAAGTGCTGAATGATCAGAGGAAGCAGTCGGCTTTATAGTCAAGGTGACTGGGTCCTTCTCAACGTCTGATGTTGTTGAGGAGCCAGATTCTGCTGAGGCGATGGCATCCTTTTGTAGTGAGCGAGCAATAACAACCGGCATTTTAGTCCTTTCAGCAAATGGCTTGAAGTCCCGGCGGCACTGATGTTGTCTTGCCCGATTTCGTACAGGGCCATGATGTTTCTTTTATAGCCTTTCATCTTTCAGTGTGAGTGATTATAATAACTTTAATCTAGCTCAAGGGGCATCACTTGTGGGCAAATGCCACCAACGCTTTCCGCCACCAGTCCCACAAGGTATCATGAGACTTCAAGACTCGATGATTAAACGTTGGAAAGCGATGCAGCTTCAACTACCCGGCCCTCCAGCAATTGTGGAAGCCTGGAATCTCTTGGGTAGGGTCCAGACACTACTGATCCTACTGACCATGTCTTCAGGGCTCAGGCATCACTAGCCTATGCTAAGGTGTCACTGCGGCATTTTTGGAAAGCACGTTTTGCGGGTGGAGAGAAATGGAAGTCCCGAAAAACACATCGTAGCATCCAGGCTAGCCTGGGTTTACGATATCGGTTCATATCTTCTCTTCGATTGGCCAAGTTCTTCACAATCATCAGAACAGCGACAGTAACCTCGGCAGATGTTACGGCGTGCGATGCCTTGCAGTTATTCCTGTTGTTAGCATCCTGCGCAATATGTTACATATGACCGTTGCCAACAGTTACTTGTCTGGAAGAGCTGCAGATGGTGGTTCGACATTTGTAGATTGTCACATTCCCCACGTTACTTCAACCACCTTCCTTGCATCAGTTCGAATCGAGAGGTTGTTCACTATCTGCTGCAAGGGGGAGATAGGAATGTACTTTCCAGGCCATGCAGTATGTGAGGACAACCAGGCAGGCAAATTCGGACCAAGCCATTGGCAAAACTTGAGTCTCTGCGAAATTTGTTGGAATTCAAGAGGAAAGTGAGGTAGCAGCCGGGCATTTTGCGCAAGGACTATGCACGCTGTTCAGGTGGAAGCGAACACTCCTTCTTGGTGGCAGGAAAAGAAGTCACATTTCACAGATCTGGAACTTGTTGGAATGTAAGGGACTGAGCCAATGACATACTATTGATGGTGTTATTTCTTTCATCATTTGTTTGGTTTGAGGTATAGAACCACTACTGTCCGCAATATGCCCGCCACTCTTGCATACGGAGATATGTACTCACCTGGTGATCTCAAAGACCGCTATGTTTCCCGGTCATAGAAGCCCAGTATGCAAGTATCATTTTACATTTTGCAGGGGCCTGGTCCAGCCGTCTACTACGACCTAGAACCATCCTGTAGAGCTAGTACCTGGCGTGGAAGTTGGCTTGGCGGCTGGGAAGGCTTTGCGGTGGTATTTATTGGATCGATTCCAGCTCCATTGCGTTCTAGAACTAGTAGTCTATACTGCGTGCCAAAAATAACTGGCTAAGGCACGCCACTGAAACACCAATCAAGCGCGTGAGAAGAGCTATGAACAGGGGGCTCTACGCTGCTCACTTCGGGCCAAACAGGGCCTGCTGGGTGTTATATGTGTATTTCAGATCGAGGTGCCAGTAGTCCGGAGCAGTTGGCTTAGCGATTAACCACGCTTTGTCCAACGCTTCAACGACCTTCTCGGGCAGAGGACCTTTTTGGATGTCTTTGAGATTACTTTCCAGCTGCGCGAAGCTGCTCACGCCAACGATAATTCCGTCGCGGCCATTGTCTTTCATATTAAGAGCCGAGTGATGGTGAATCCAGCGAATCGCAGTCTCGGGGAGTGTCAGGCCATGCTTCTCGACCTCAGGCTCGATGACTCGCAGCGCATCGAAGGTTGCATCCCTGAAATAGCGTTTGCGGTACGGTACGCCAGTGGTGGATTTGTCGCTGTATCTTCCCTCGTCAGGGATGTCTTTTGTCTTATACTTACCCGATAAGATACCACCAGCAAGGGGGTTATAGACTACGATATCAATGCCATAACGCTTGCAGGCGGGGATTAGCTCGGTCTCAATCGAACGTGCTAGGGTAACACCGGTCAGTGCCATTCAAATCGAGGGGAAACCGGCTGCTGAGTCCATTGGTATGAGAACAACTCACTAATGGCATTATACATCGCTTGATATATTGTCGGTCGTACCCAGCCCCTCTCAGCACAGAGAGTCACAATTTCCGCGACCTCAAAGGCCGTGTAATTACTCAGACCCAGTTGAACAAATTTGCCCTCTTTATGTAGCTTGTTGACTTCCTCCAGAGTCTCCGCAAAAGGAACTGATCTATCCGGAGCATGAAGATAGAAGATATCGACCTGATCCGTTCCCAGCTCCTTCAGAGAAAGCTCGAGCTTTTCTCGGAGCACATTGGGTTTGTGTTCGCCTGGGTTGTGAGGATACCATTTCGTTGCCAGAGTTAATCCTCGCTCTTTCCACTTCGCCTGCGCTGTAAAAGCCTCCTGCGCCCCGCCAACATAAATCCTAGCAGTGTCGATTTCATTGAATCCCTGCTGTTGGAAATAGTCGAGACACTTGTTGAATTCTTCGAGAGACGTGATCCGAGCGCCCTTAGACTCATCGGGGCCGAATGTCATAAGGCCTAGAAGGGCCCTTGGCAGGGGGTTCTGCGCGACTAAAGGCATCCTAGTACTCGAGAAATCACGGGGTTCTGCGGGGTAGCCAGATCTCAGTCACGTCCAACATACTAGTACACGGCTACCGTCCTCCACATGCTGGCAACATGACATACCTTAGAAATACTTCTCTGGTTCTATTGAGCGAAATTAAAGCAGTGGTAGGGAAGGTAACTCATCCAGTAAATGTGCTTGCGGGGTACAAGTGGTGAAATGTCGGAGATGCTCATAGTGGAGATAAGATTTCCATCACGTCATTGGTCTATCCCCGTCAGCACCAAAACCATCTCTCATTGATTACTAGGCTCTGATTAGTTGATGCCATCCGCTGTATGGAAATATAGTAATTTTAGTTGAGTTCGACTGGTCTGCCTGTGTCAAACATTCCACGAGTGCATTCATAGCCGTACAGCTTCTTCTGTTAGCAGAATCTGCTAATGCACGGTCATAGTGGGGGCTAACATATCACAAATACGAATAATAGCAAACATCGTAGCCAACTGTCAAGTGAGTAAACGTCCCAAACGCGAATCATCACTTCATCTGTGCTTAAGGTATGTGTTTGTAGATCAAATATAGATACTGACCTAATTTACTTATAACTTGAATCTTAAACAGAGATGAGCGGGACAGACACACATGCAGTTGATATGAATGATCAAGTCCCCTATAGAAGTCAGCCAAGACCGAATAGGAAATAGATCCAGGTTTCCAAGTTATAAAAGGTCTTTGAACAATTATTTAGATGACCCCTCCAGCCATTGTCTTTGACAAAAATCGCCCTGTACTGTGTACAACTCTGGATACCGCCTCTGCGTTTGCAAATAGGCGATAATGTAATGACAATTCCATGAACTCGCAACCAGATGGGTGTCTAGAACAAGAAATTAGAGATCTAGTATATATACAAAGAAAATTTCACGCCAGTGAGACCAATTTTCTAGGTAGATCCGGGTTTGGTGTTCTCGAGGTCCAATTCACACGGATTGCAGGGTTCTCGTCTTACTCTCATCTTCTATTGGGTGTTGTTGTCTTGCGGAAACAATACAACACATACACTGAAACAAGTCATGTGGCTCATTGCTACCTATATAAAATGGTAGCTTACCCATCTTAGATCAGTCATGACTATCTTCAAAGAGATTTCCTGACAATACTCCTTGCCTGTCAGTCCAAATAAAAACGAAATAATGACTGCCACCAGCCACCCTGGCCAAAAAGAATTATCCAATATCATGCGCAACCTACAGTCCAGCCCTGACGGCAGAGAAGAAAGCGTGGATCGAGAAAAACAAGGAGGCGAACAAGGAAATCATCCAGGAGAATATTAGGAAAATGAAAAGTGGTGAGCTAAAGCCGTGTGGGGTTGTTATTCGGTCGGATCATGATATTAGTCCTCGGTAGAGAAGGGTTTTATAACATCACAGTGTGGTATGACATGTTGAAGCATACGAGTATCACAAAGAGAGGTTCGAGATTATATTTAAATAAATATCACTTAGCTCTGCTGTGCGACAAAACCTGGACATTGTTGTCATATCCTATATACAAGCAATACACAGAGCATTTCTATCCTGTCGATCCTCGGCATTGGTATCAACTCCTGTGCCACCTTGCTCTTTGCAAACTATTTAGGCGGCACCATGCCAAAATTCATATCTCCCTGCGCCTGATACTGGTTGCCGCCTACAATGTTCTGTGTGCCCTCAGCGAATTGAATGTATTGCTGATTATTATCTCCGTACTGGCGGGCAAGTCCGGCCTGTCCAGCAGGCGATGAACTGTCACGGGCCTCACGGCAGTTTTTGGTCGCACTTATATCTTTAATCCAGCGACGCAGCTCTCCACAGATAGCCACAAACCCAGGGTCGTCGACACCACTGAACTTGGTCATATCCATATGATTACTGTGGATTCCAATAGGGACATATCCCGGTAGGACGGCCGAATCCTGTGGAACCACCTATTGCCGAGACGTCAGCATTCGAGAAGAGGCCCGAATTTGCATGACTTACAAAACCAATCCCCAGCACGGGTAGCTCCTCATAGAAGCAAGTGACCTTAATCGGTGGCGGTTCTACACTTCGCACCATCGTGTGAAAGCCGTCTTGGATCCGCGCAAGGACCTCGGAGTCGCGTTTGAGAACGTTGACAATGTCGGGATTCGTCTGCTTGACAAGGCCAATTGATCGGGATACAATCTCAGCCCATTTAGCAAGGCCCGCTCCATGGTGCGGTGTCCCAAGAAAGATAATACCACGAGTGGACTGAATGATACCGTGGAGATGCGGCTCTGGTCGTTGTTTCGACGTTAACAAGGCCTGGGATGGGCATTAGCACAGTCCCCCCAAAATCAGACGATACGTACATCCTCGCAGACCAGCCCGCCCAAGCTATGGCATACAAATATAACCGGTCGTTCATTCTGTGTGTGTCAGTGTGTTATAGCATCAGTAGCGGTGACCGCCTTACCGTGGCGTCGTTGTCTCGGTACGTTGCAAGAGATGCCAGCAGATTCCATGCGTGGTTGGCAATAACAGATTGCGATACTACACCTCGCCAGTCCGCCACATATGCGTCATATCCAAATGTGAGGATGCGGGCTGTCGGAAGTTTGGCTGGGAGGAGGGTTTTAGGCCAAGGTTCGCCCTCGCCTGGGGCAGTCCACGTCGCATCGCGATCGCCGGTCAGGCCGTGGACAAATACGATACTGGGGGAAACATCAGCCATGTTCTCTAAACCCCGAAAGGCACATACTCAATTGTCGCATCATTTGGGCCACAGAGCAATTTGAGTCCGGTAGGGAAGGTCTTTCTCGGTTGGCATTTAGATGTACTACCCTGACCTTTGGCTCGCAGCCGCAGCCGGTGTAGGATTTGTTTCGTCGTCGTTACGCCTAAAGCCATGGTGTCTTTGTTTGGCCGTCAAAATCACAATCCTAGGTATTACTTGCCATATTAAAGCAAGGCTGGCAGGGCATATTTAATAACAGGAAACCCTGTCAATACTGGCGGGCGACAAGGTATCGTGACGCCCTGATTGATTCCCTTGGAGAGGAGAAGCGCTTCCATCCGCCATTGAGAAAGCAGAACAGTTCATGTACGCTCTCAAACTAAGCGCCAGCCTCATATATTTTTGGAAGACACTTAATGTGTCAAAGAAGATCCGTCGCAGCTCGTCAACATCGGCGGAGCTTAGCGCTCACATCTCGCCCTATACTTTTGCCGAGAGGAGGTGCCTCGGTATACTAGTACATGGCACTCGGGGTCCGAATTTTTGTCCTGGATTATAGCTAGTTAGATCTGGATGGGCCAATAACAGCAAACAGGGGGTGTTTGTGATATATTAGCAGCTCTCTTTATTTAAGTCAGTGCGAAGCAAGCGGGCGCTTAATGTATGTACCTCGACTCCTAGTTTACACAAGGTGAGGAGTCGTAGCAAATCAAACGCTTAGGGCAAACCAAAACGCTGCCTGTCAATCGCACTGCCTAAATTAGCGCCGTTGGTTCATAGCACCTTGAGATTTATAGGGCCAGAATAGAAGAATTATAGTTTCGATAAAAATTGCATTCGAGATTCCACCTCGCTCCTGCGCAGTATTAGTGGTAGGAACGGAGCGAGCAATCACAACTGCAGCCCCACATAAATTCCTCGGCGGCTACTTGGACGTTGAGGAAGACTCCATGTAGAAGCACTCCAAAGAGTGGAAGGTGCTATGGAGACTCTCGAAATACTCCGATTGCATACTCCGGAGTACACTGACTCCCTCACTCCTCTTCCCCACTTCTTAGCGCCAATTGGGGGATGTCTGTGCTGAGCTGACTGGCCATAATTATAAACGAGCGACGCGCCAAGCACGGAGGCTATAAAAGTCCCCCTCACAACAACCACAAGATCGTTGGGCAGATAAGCGGCAAACCCGAGTGAAGGAAAGTGTTGTGCATTGTATCGCCCCAAATCATTCCGTGTCTGGCCCTCTACTTTTTCTCTTCTGGCACGCCCTCCCAGCGGCGAGAAAGGACTTCGCTGTTCACCAACATTACGATTGAGCTTAACTGCAGCAAGTCCAGTCTAAATGTTGTCGACTCAATCCGCGGCCCAGTCTCTGTCCATCATGTCAGATTCTGATATCTCTCGCCAGATTACCGGCCTCATCGAGGTCACAGAAGGCATCGTCGAGGCGTATAACCCGATCAAAGACCTCTGTGGATTGCCCAAAGCCTTCCGGGAAGTGAACAATCTACTTCCTTTCGTCCAGCAAATCCTTCGAGATGCAAAGGCTCCGACGAAGAAATCCCTGTCCACCAACGAATTTAAGGCGCTGAAGACTATTGTGTCTAGCTGTGCTGAGAAGGCTGACAAGCTGCTGGAGATCTTCAAAAAGATGGCGAAGAAGACAGATGGCCAATACAGCTCTACCGTGTACCGGGCAATCGTTCTTAATCAAGGCAAGCATCGCGTCGAGACGCTGATGGACGGTATTTTGCGGGGTCTAGAAGCCCTTGTTAGGAGCCACATATTTCCGGTGGAAATCCAGAGGCAGGTCAAGCCGTTGGAGGATGCTCGAGCGGAGCTGGCGAAAGTGTCTCCATCATTGACTGACTCTGATCTGGCCGAGCAGCCCGGTACTGCCAACCAGTATGGAGATAAATGTCGCCAGTATAACGTGTTCGGGGAAGGCACACAAAGAATCGCGGATGGTCACTATTTTGAGGCAAAGGGAAATCAGACTTTCGGTATGATGCCGCCTCTGGGCTCTATTAGCAGCTCTGGAATTACCTCAACTTAACGGGATTCGTTGCTGTCCCAGAATCGTTTTTCTCGAACCCTTGACATTGGGTTTATACAAACTTTACGTTTGGAACAAGCTTGTACGTTCGTTAGTGCGTTATGGGGAATAGTCCCTAGCGACCCCCACGGTGCCAGCGCTGTGCGACTTGTTCACCGCGTTGCTTCCGGTCATTCTCGCAGTCGATAGAGGAGGTATCCGAGGCGTGATAGCCCTGCAAAATATGTTGGGCTTTGACATATTTTTGTTCATTTTAGGTTGTCTGTCAGCTATCGGAGATCTCATCCGCCCGCCATTCCCTGCGTGGTAGGCGGAGACGCACAGGATCCTCATGGCCCAGATATCTCCCTTCGCTGCTATTCTATAGTCTGATGGATGGATGGATGACTTTAGTTACTTAGCTCGCAGCTACAGAATATTTCTTTTAACTGTTGTCTTCCGAAAGGCAAAATGCTTGGTGTAAGGTGAACATATGACTACAGGATAAAATCACTGCATAAGCAGTTCCTGCTCATTCCAAGTTAATTTGTAACTATTTGTGTGTGCTTCATGGCGACAAATAGAGCCTTGTGTTCACTCGTGAAGAGTTTAGCATGGTACAGTACATTATAGATGCCCCACTAGCAGCCAAGTCTACTGCTCTTGGGGGTTGAGGCAAGCAACAACAACAACAACAACAACAACAACAACAACAACATACCCCCCGGTGAAATTGACATGGCAACTTCCAGTACACAATAGCATCCAGTATGTGAGCACATCGTATTGGCTCATCTAGTACTTAAACTCAAGATACAGGATTTATAGGAGAGAGAATGGATTTTTTTAAGGCCCCCTGCCAAGCTTAAATACGGGGCCGCCAGTGCCCTAATAGCGACGATCCCACCCAACTGAGCATCGATTTGTTCCTATGTCAAGGCTAATGAATACCCACGTAGGCTCCCTGGTATGCCAGCCGTGACCACTTTATCTCATTAGGCTGGGGACAGAGGCAAAATAGTATTCATTTTTCGAAACAACAGCCGTTATCTCACTCACGATACCTATCCTACCCCACGCTTAGCACACCTATACGTCGCTCTTCAATATGAAGCTTGCCTCGGGGTTAACCCTTACCACGTCTGGCTTCCAGTTGCTTATGTTTGGCCGTCGGAAAGAGGGTCTCACCCCGGACCAATACCGCGACCACTACGAGAATGTCCACATTCCCCTCATGAAGAACCTCACCGGGGATACCTTCCCTCTGACTCACGAGCGACACTACGTGAAACGAGACGGGCCGCCTGACTTTCCTGCGGCTGTTTTAATGGGCAACCAGGCGGACTTCAACTACGACGCGGTGGCGGTACTCACGTATCGGGATAAGGCGCATTTTGACGCCAACTGGGCTTTCTTTGAGGATGAGGAGACTTCGAGATTGATCAAAGAGGACGAGGAGAAGTTCTCCGCGTGGGTGACGGGTGTTTTCATCGGGCAAACGATTACTACTGATACGAGAGATACGCCCAACTAAGAACGGTCATGCATCACCATCCAAAAGATCACGAAAGAGCTCTCAACCTATCAATCTTTTTTTTTTGTCTGGACCCTCACTACTAGTGCTAAAAGCAAATGTCTTCTAATTTCTGAGTGGATCATATCGGCTGTCGGAAGTAGTGCCAGTAAAGACTAATATAATTGACTCTTTCCTGGCAATTCTCGTCATCCATTTTCGCTTGTTCTAGTCTCTGTTCTTATTATCCCATGGAAGCAAGCGCCCTAGGTTCCGGTGGTGTTACTGGAAAACCTCTTTCAAATTGCCCCCTGCTTCTTACCATCACGAGGAATAATAACAAGTCGACAAAGTATATGTCAGACTGTTGTATGTTGTGTTTTACCGCCTGAAGGAAACCTAATAACTTGAGCAATATTGGCGCGAAAGCCGTAACGTTCTAGGCATAAATGCTGTGAATCCCTGTGTCTTTATATACAGATACAAGATTATCACAAAAGGCATCCAAACCTTTGCCGATTGGCTTAGATCGGATGATATTGAACATTGAAGGCGTCGGCATTCTATTCAAAAAAGAAACACATTGATAGATCTTATACGCCATGTAAGTGCAACATGAGCTAGAGAAGATACAAATACAAGAGACGCTATGGATGGTGCGGTATTGTGGAATGAGAGAACATCGTCTTCTATCTTCCACGTAACAAAATCAGGCTGAGTATATAGACTGGAAGTTCCACTTTCAGCCTCTACCGCAGCATCAGGGGTTCGTCTGGATTCCCTATCTTTAGATCTTCAAGGTATCCATTATGTAAAGACTAGAAACTCCCGATAGTCAAATAGGTATTTATATTGCTGCGGTTACCTATACAATGCACCTCAAAGTGAGGGTTATGCCTTTCTGGCAGCGACTGTGCATTTTACTGGGGGACTCACTCCCTTGTAGTATGACTACTCTACCCATGAGGGTAGATGCTACAATACTAGCGATAATCGAAAGTCCCACGGATACTCCAGATGAGAGTATCCGCGCCAGTAACACAAGGTGTTCGAACTAGAATCACTACTTCATTCGATGAGATTACCAAGGGAGTATCGCGGCACAAGTGTATGGCAAATTAAGACGTATAGATCGGTAAGACATAATCTTGTCCGAGGTCGTTATCCCTCAAGGATAAGCTAGGCACAAATACCTACCATACTGATCGTGTTGATCAGATAAGATAAGGGTTTTCAAGATCTATGGACTCGTGGAGACTTGGCGTCCCACTTAAACTGCTTTAGTCTTTGTGGGACTAACGGGAGATGATCGACAAAGGGATTTCCAACCCTAGTCTCATTTGTTACGACGATTGATCCAGGTTTGCCAATTCCACTATCGCTCTACATACACAATCGGAGGTTTAGTTCCACACGACCCCCTACAGCGATTCCGAGATTATGTTTGTCGGTCGTATGGACGGATGCTCAAGAGACATGGTGAGTATATCATACCTAATATCGCTCGTCTTCTGTGAGAACATAGAAACCATACTACCAAAAGTGTGCGTATATCCCGTAGACAACCGTGATGGCTCACTAGCTTGCCCCACGAGAGACAAAGGGAAATTATGATCAGTGGTACCTTACCATTTGGCCAACGGTTAGGCCACGCCCAAAGACTCAAACGTGAATAATTATAGAGTTACCTTCTACTGCTGACAATTGCTTCGGGTGCTAGTGGTAGCCTCTGGTATACTTCTTAAAATTCAGGCTAAACTGCTGTTCTAAATGTATCTACATGATACAAAATCGTCTCACAAAGTGTTTTGCTATGTAGCGGCCAAGGTTTTAGGATAGGACCCTTGGGGCTGAAGCCTCGCGACCCACTGGCGCCAAGACGAGTAACTTATTTTAGCTTGACATTGGTATGGATTAGTGTTTGAGTTAGATGGTGGTAAATCTACTTCTACTCTAGTGGAATCATTCAGTGTCTTCTAAGCCCTCTACAAGCCTGGGTGTTAACTTGGCAGGGTTCCCAAGGATTTTTAGGGAGGAATGGCAATCTATCATGTGAGGGTATAGCCCGTGGTCAATAGTTGAAGCTATACTAAGGAATCTATGAGAAGGAATGAGCATCTTTGGGCCTCCGCATAAATAGCGATCGTAGGACAACTTTCCATGTAAAGCAACGAAAGGATTGCACGGTCTACCCGAGAAATTCCAACTTAGTCATTCTTTTGCCCATTCGCTTCTTGTCTCGTTTCATTCTTTGATGCAGTACCATTCGATATGAAGTCTGCGGTCTTCAGCCCCATTCTCTTCTCTCTGGCTGTGGCCCAGAACTACTCACTTGATAAACATTTCGATGTGCAATCTAGTCTCATTACCGACCCGAAGGAGGTCTCTGAGAAGACCTTTGATTATGTCATTGCTGGAGGAGGCTTGACCGGTCTAACAGTTGCGACCAAGCTGACAGAGAACCCCAACATTGAGGTTCTGGTTATTGAAAAGGGCTTTTATGAGTCCAACTGTGGGGGCATTGTCGAGGACCTGAATGAATATGGCGACATCTTTGGTACCGATGTTGATCAAGCCTATCAAACTGTTCCCCTTGCGATCAACAATCGCACAGAGTTGATTAGGTCTGGAAATGGCCTCGGTGGGTCGACCTTGGTCAACGGTGGTTCTTGGACTCGCCCAGACAAAGTCCAAATCGATTCTTGGGAAAAGGTCTTCGGCAATGAGGGTTGGAACTGGGAGGGCCTCTTTGAATACATGAAGAAAGCGGAAAAGTCTCGCCCGCCAAACGAGGCTCAGATTGCCGCCGGTCACTCTTACGATCCTGCTTGTCATGGAACAAATGGCACTGTTCAGGCAGGCCCTCGTGACAATGGCAAGCCATGGTCTCCTATCATGAAAGCCCTTATGAACACTGCATCAGAGCGTGGTGTTCCGACACAGCAAGATTTCCATTGTGGGCATCCTCGTGGTGTCTCCATGATCCCCAATGCTGTGCATGAGGACCAAACTCGTTCAGACGCTGCACGTGAATGGCTTCTTCCGAACCACGAACGCCCTAACCTAAAAGTCTTGACAGGTCAACGAGTTGGAAAGGTTTTACTCAACAAAACTGAATCCGGGGCTAAGGCTACTGGACTGAACTTCGGTACCCACAAAAAGGTCAACTTCAATGTGTATGCGAAGCATGAGGTCTTACTTGCAGCTGGATCTGCAATTTCGCCATTGATTTTGGAATGGTCTGGTATCGGCTTGAAGGATGTTCTTAGTGCCGCCGGTGTTGAGCAGGTTGTTGATCTTCCAGTTGGTCTCAACATGCAGGACCAGACGACTACCAACGTCCGTTCCCATGCCCAGGCTTCTGGTGCTGGACAGGGTCAGGCGGTTTACTTTGCTTCTTTCAATGAGACCTTTGGCGATTACGCTCCTAAGGCTATGGAGCTCCTTAACACCAAACTTGACCAATGGGCAGAGGAAACAGTTCGTAATGGTGGTTTCCATAATGTGACAGCCCTTAAGATCCAGTACGAGAACTACCGCGACTGGTTGCTGAATGAAGATGTTGCCTTCGCAGAACTTTTTCTCGATACCGAGGGCGTGATCAATTTTGATCTATGGGACCTTATCCCTTTTACTCGCGGATCTGTACACATCCTTAATGGCGATCCCTACATTCATCGTTACGCCAATGATCCCAAGTTCTTCCTTAACGAATTCGATATCCTCGGCCAGGCCGCCGCCTCGAAGCTTGCCCGTGAGCTTTCCAACGCCGGTGAAATGAAGAAGTACTTCGCTGGCGAGAGCATCCCCGGTGACAATTTGGCATACGAGGCCTCCTTGGAGCAGTGGACGGACTACGTCAAGAAGAACTTCCGTGCCAATTGGCATGCTGTGAGCTCTTGCTCCATGATGGCTAGAGAAATGGGCGGTGTCGTCGACTCCGCCGCTCGTGTGTATGATGTCGAAAACCTCCGTGTCATTGATGGCTCCATCCCACCGACCCAGGTGTCTTCGCACGTCATGACCATTTTCTATGGTATGGCTCTCAAGGTTGCTGATGCCATTCTGGCGGATTACTCCAAGAACTGACAGGTTCACGTTTGTGCCGTTGTGATTCAACTGTGAGGGAATCATTCAAGTAATTATAGCTCCTCTTTATCTTTTCTGATTCTTGTATGTATATCATTCATTCCTGTATCTCGTGACCCTTTCTTAGAAAACTACATTTTCGGTATAAGTTTAGTGATATAAGATCCATAATTTATCTTGTGGTGTTTTGTGAGTTTGGTGCGTCAATTGCTTTCTGAAACGAAGTAATCTACCGTATGGTTTCACCTTTCGCATAGTAGATCAGTTGTTCTCCTAGTGTGAGCCCAACTGACCAGCGAGGAATCGTTGTGTCCTATATCGCTTGATCAAGTCATCACATCTATGGCTGAGGATCATAATATCTAAAATTGCACGCTAGAAACTTAACAAACCCGAATATCACGGCATGTCACCGCCCACAGGAGCAGTCAATGAGAGGCTCCATAAAGTCAGGACAGTAGAGCGCACCTTTCATCCTGTCCATGTGGACAATGTACAGCATCGATCAATCCATTCATACGAATTAGTGGGAAGACAAATCCGAAGAAAATGCCGTACCGATCTGCTCTGTACATGCACCAAGAGCAAGGGATTGGCGATACTTCCGTGGTGGTGTGAACTAGGACTAGAAAAAACCGGAGGATGATCATATTTGATCGACATCCAAATTACTCTTTCTTTCCTTCTTCTTTTCCTCTTGGCTTTGTCCTCTTCGAGGTGGTTTTGAATCCTACGCCGTCTCTCTCCGTTCGCGAGTCGCCAAGAGGGTTAACATGCATTATTTCTGCAATATGTCTGCGATCCTAGTTCACTGTCTGTATTATCTTTATTGTTATCTCTAGACATTAATAGTATGTGTCTCATTCCATATACATTTTATAAAATTAATGCCTAGTGCTGTGGGTTTATTGGACCTTGGAATTCTTGGTTGGAAGGCATAGTTCCGTTCTCCGGTCACAACGGGTCGCTCCAGAATCTCATCATGGCAATGAGCGACCAGATACAGATACCGGTGAATATAAACATGAGACAATAAAGTTTTGTAATCTTGTAGCCAAGCAACTAGGCGTGTTTACCTGTGACAGGGGAAGCCCTGCCGAGGGTGGAGCTGTAAAGAACACCAGAAGGGAATGGCCCTGCCGATCACTGTATACAATATGTCTCAATGTCGGCAGGATACCCTAAGATCTTGCCTATATAACAGGCCGCTTCCTCCTGCACGTTTAAAACATCAGTCCCTGGACACAGAATACATTCTCTACTCTACCAATTCGGGTAGGTAAAGATACGATCACCCGGAGATCTCCCAATCCAACTGTTGAATGCCGTTCTTAGTGCCATGAGCTGACAAAGTGTCTGGTTCAGTATAGGCTCTTTCTGTTCGAAATGGTTGTCTTCGGAAGCATGCGGCTTCCTCTTCTGTTGTTGTTGCTGCTGAACGCAACATTTGGTTCGGCACACCGCTGGTTCAACTGGCAGTATGAGGTCGGCTGTGAGTCCGATACCTTCATCGCACCGGCAGATGAAACCGGTGTTACCGACTTCCTGAAGAAGGAGTTCCCTAAGCAATCTCTTATCAAGGTCGTCGGTAATGGCCACGGTTTTGGAAACTTGACTACCTGTACCAACAAGGGTTCCACCAACAAAACTTCTCACATCGTCAGCCTTACCAACTTGAAGAAGCTTGAGATCAACAAGGACATGACCGTCACCGTCGGTGCTGGCTGGGATGTCTATGATCTGGTGAATGAACTGAAGAAACGCAACCTGTCCTTTGACTATCTCGGTGCCATGCGTGTCCAGAATATTGTCGGTGCTATTAGCACCGGTACCCACGGCACGGGCCAGAATATCACCAACATGGCAACGCAGGTCGTTTCTCTCCGTGTTGTTGATGCTCGTGGTGATATCCGTACGATCGACGCACAAAAAGATGCTGAAGAGATGAAGGCGTTTCGTATTAACCTTGGTGCTCTCGGCCTGATCACCGAAGTCACCCTCAAGGTTCAGCCGACTCACTTCCTGAAGAAGACCACAAAGGTGCTGAATGCCACCACCGACTACAACAAGCTGTACACGGAGCTTGCGGATCTCTACAAGAAGCATGACCGCATGACTGTTTGGGGACCTCACTTCAACTGGGACGCCAAGGCTGAGGACTGGGTCATCGAGCCTACTTTCTACGCCAGCTGGTGGGAGCCGACCAATTACACTGGCGTCCGCAACTGCACCCTCAACTACTGCGCCAACGGCTGCGGTGACTGCATCAAGGACTATGTCTGCTATGATGAGACAAGCGATGCAGTGTCGTGCCCTCCCCAGGGTATCTGCTCGAGCCAGTTCTACGCTGAGATTGAGCACTTCTTCCCCATGGAGCATTTCGTGGACGCCGCCGTCAACTACACTAAGTACCAGCAGGCACAGACCCCGAAGATGAAGGGCTTCGAGAACGAGAAGATGATCTTCCAGTTCCGTGCTCTCAAGGGCGATGACTCGTATATGTCCCCAGCCAACACCTACAACCTCGGCTCCGAGAAGAGTGGTGTTTTCGGTGTCCTGGAGATTGACTGGATGCAAAAGGTGAACCACTGGGGTACTTTGTACAACAACCAGCAGTTTGCCTATGACTTCCAGGATGAGTTTGGCTCTGTGTATAATGCCCGCTCGCACTGGAACAAGATGTCTCCCAACGACCCCAAGCACACCTTGGCTATCTTCCCTAAGCTTCCTGAGTTTCTGAAGATTCAAGAGCGCCAGGACCCCAACTGCCAGTTCGCCAATGAGTTCCTGGTGAACCAGCTCGGTATTGAGCGCTGCCGGTCCGCACTCAACCTGTAGTCTGAGGACTAATTCATCGATTGGTTTTCTTTCTTCGTCTTACTTCTCTTCTACTCGCGCACAGTGATGCTGCATATTATTTTGCCAACCATTCCTATGGACGGTCTTTTCATTTCCTTTCTTGCTATCTTTGAAAACTGTATTAGTAGTAGATTTAGTGTCACATTTGGATTTCATAGAAAATATTTTTGGAGAGTCATTCTTGGTGTTCCATTGTTGATCTAGGCCGTGCAAATATATATATTCAACCAGGTATACGCCCAGCTCTATCTAGCCCATCTGTGCAAGTAGGAAAGGAAAACTGACGTCGAGAAAAGGAAAACCCGGAAAAGATCAACTAGCATTTAGAATTCCACACACATACACACACACAAAGCCAGCCACAACACACAGCTACCTGCTAATACACATAGACAAAAAGCGCCATGATTCCAACAAGAACAACAAGCCATGCCTTACCGATAAAAAACGACATTATATGTGGAATCTGCGAGTAAGGCCTAGCGTCTGATCTTTTTGCCCTCAGTACCTTTGTTTCCTAGGCAGTATAAAGATCTAGTTAAGGAATAAAGACCTTTTTTTCCACCTGATACGATGCTTCGTCATCATAGAATGGCGTACGCCCTACTTTCAGTATCTACAACCCTTGAAACATTACATTTGTTACATCTCATTCATTTAGGGGGGGG